CAATACATTAAACATTAGACCACTCATTTCTCTATAGGTATTTGAAAATATTTTCAAATAGATGGCTACAAGGCCAGGTCTGATGGTTGCTGCAAGGAAAGAAGTATCCCTAGAAAAAATATTCAACTTAGGACCCTGTCAGATGCATTTTGAGCACCATTTCTGGTTATGTTTCAACAATAAGTCTACAACAGAATCAAAAAATAAGAAAAACTCTCAATATTTTCACAATGTCAGTGAAGTGACTGTTGTTGTAATTAATTTGGTGATGTCAGGCTATTGTTTTTTGTTTTTGAATTTCGCGCAAAGCTACACGACGGCTATCTGTGCTAGCCGTCCGTAATTTAGCAGTGTAAGTCTAGAGGGAAGGCAGCTAGTCATCACCACCCACCGCCAACTCTTGGGCTACTCTTTTACCAACGAATAGTGGGATTACCAAATACTTTTTGCATCATTAATTACGGGTGTTTCCACATGTTGCAGCATACTGAGCAATTTTAAGCACTCACTATTAACAAGTGACAAAACAAATTATGTAAAGTCATTTTCTTTACGTCAAATACGTACAGAATTCAACAATAACTAGTGGGATTAATTTACAATATTGATGGTAATTTTATTGAAAGTTTTTATGTGACTCATATGTTATTAGGGATCTTATGGATTCACAAACAATTTAATGTAAAAACAATTCTGAAAAAATGTGTTGTAAACCTCATCAGTAATTATACGGTTAGAAGTAATTTAAAGTTCTTAACATTCTTTTTATGTCATTTTTCAAGTTTAGCCTAGACTTTAACAAATTTGACATCACCACAGTGACTTCAGCAGAGTAGTAACTACAAAGGGGGTGTTAAAGACCTATGGTAATGATAAAAGGTTAAATGCCTAAGCCTCAGAGCCCCTTCTTCCACCATTGATGGTATTCTTTGTGATGGCCCTGGATATTAACCAGTATTATTTCTGTAGTGAAATTCCCCATGCAGGAGGTCAATGCTAACCCACTCCCTCTTTATACACTTTCTAAAGTCTAACAATCATGCATGGACAACAACTTCTAAGGGCCTATTTGAACAACACAAAAGCACAGATATCTGCAAAGGATATAGCATTAATTCTCATTTGTATGTGCCTCATATGGAGTAACTGCCATGTTGACTGGAGTTTATCCATACATAGATAGTATTTCCTTGTGGTATAATGGTAACATACAGAGTTCACTGTGGCATATTCTTAAGTTTCTGTATTTCAACTTATTATTACAGCTGTAACATGCAATCATTATAAATCTCTAGAAAATGGGAAATTTTAATATCAACAACGATATGCATCAATATGTGTACTTAAGTATATAGGTGGGTCTTGGTTGGTTTTCTGACCAATTATTAGACTAAGTTTGTACAAGTTCTTGGAAGTTATCTTGAAATCTTTAGAAAAGGCAATAGCTAGATATATACAAGTACAGCAACTACAGATAGTAATGATAGTGATATGAAATATTTTAACACAACACTTTGCACAATATTTTTGATTGAACCCCTGTACTATGAACCAATTCATCTAGCCCTCAACTTTTTAGATATTGGCTTCTGGAATAGATTGTCTTCAGATGTGGTAGATACAGTTAAATTATGGGAGTGTAAGGAAAGGCTTGAGAAATATTTGAATGATAAAGGCTGGCTTTGAGTGTTTTTATTTTAGTCTAGTATGAGACAGACACACAAAAATAGCAAGACAGCTAGAAATGTTGTGAAACAATCCAGTTATTAACACATCTAAAAATTATAGATTGTGAGAATTACAGTACAACTGCATTTCTAAATATACCCCAAAAACAGCAAATGTATAATAAAGATTTACACACACAACTATGAAAAATACAGGTTTATTTTGATCTGGTTAAAAAATAATTACATTGTCTCAAGCTGTAATTTGTGATTGAGTAATTTAATTTTCTATATACATTTGTTCATTCTAAGTAGATTTCAATAATATTTTGGCTTACAAATCAAATCATACCCATACTGTACAGTTGCAAAGTGCATATTAAGTTTAATATTTGTGTAACTAGTTTAATTTTTTTTTCATAAAGCACCAAAAATTATTCTTTCAAAATGCTGTGGGTAGATTCCTGCTACTTCTAATTGTCACCAAGTATACCTAGAAACTTTCATAAATAATAGATAAAATTTTCCTCTGTTTGGGCTTTATTCTTAGAACATGATGCTTTCCACAATACACTATAAAATTATGTATAAACAATTAAGATGCACCAACAAAATTGACAAGTTTTGGTATGATATATGTTTCTGAAAAGTCCAATACCTTTTTACAATAATAATACTCATTATTTGTAACTAACCATAGTTGTGGCTTTATCTGTTTGAAATGAATTACAAAAACTAATCAGTCTCATCTTTGGATGTAGCTTTGAACATTGTAAATAATTAATTCCGTGATGTTCAAAAGTACTGTCAAATTGTCTATGCCTTAGAGTAAATCTAAAATTTAATGGAAACTATTCAACCATATATTTTATTTGCTATTACAATCACAATATGTCAAAATCTTTCACCATCTTCATACATTAAACCATTAGTTCTCAAACTTTGTTTTTGTTTGTGAATCACCTGATCACACTATGCTACCACTTCTTTTTCAAAGCTGAAAAACTTTCCATGAACCACAATGTATAAGTAAGTTGATTATTCTACAATATTCTACAAGCTATAACATATTTCAAATAAGGAATTTTACAAAACATACACCATAACCATATTTAGATAACAATGAAGATTTCGTTTTAACACTCCACAGAACAAAGTCCCCTTTTAAAAATAAGTTATAAATCATAAGCAGACATCTGTGTTGTGTCTACATGTTCTTGCAAACATCATATTTTATATATATATATACACACACAAACCACATACAAAATAGCTACGTTGACTTGCTGTCAAAATGATTATTTAGTCAATGTCATTATCAGAGCTAAAGGCCTGAAATATAATACCTATTACCCTATAACATCTTGTACAGGTGATCAACTGAATCACCCAGTAATGAAATATAAGAGTAGTTCATTAGTCAGATCACGTGTAAAGATGAGCAGAACTTTAAGATACTGGAAACCACAAGACATAAAAGTACTTTTTACATTAACTGGTTTTCATTTCAACATCAAGCAGGACTGCCAAATACCTTGTCATAAAGTGAATGACATATATATCACTAACTATAAAAGGCTTATTCACTTTGTCGAGAATGCTTTCACGCTCCTTTTTTGGTAATACTTAACAATATACATCATTGCTTAGCAACAAAACTATCACCTGATTGTTCTTAGGCCATCTATGGTGTTTATGTTTAATGCTCAATATTCATGTTGATTTGTTAGAAAAGTCTGTTTTTTTATTCTTTACTTTCTTGCTAACTTAGATGATATAACAGCAAAATAGTTTAATTCAGAAGTTTTATGCCATCGAGTTGTATTCAAAAGCAAAATAAAATTTACCAAGTAGTGTTTCAGCTAAGCATTACATTATGTTTATGTATTAGGCCTAATGCTTAAATTAGACTACAAATAGGCCTACTATTACTAACGTTATAAAGTCAGTGTTTAAAAAGTTTTAAGTGGTGAATAACTGTTAATTAATAAATATCCTTTTGGTAATTCAGCACGTATATTATCTACTTGGTCTTAAAACATAAAGTTTTTGTTAATTATTCAACAATGCTTTCCCATCATTTCTGACAGGCTTTTATACTAGTATATGCTATAAAAGAAAAACAAACCCTCCAGGCCTCAAATTAAAATTTACACAAACCAGTGACAACAGTTGAGACTATTAGTTATGATAATATAAATAATGGCAAATGTTTAGCACATCTTCACAAAATCATTAGCAAGAAAATACTAGGCTACTGTATAGGTGTTGTAACATTAACTTGTATTGATGAAGCTGAAATCCCCACAAAAGGTAACATATTTGACCACCACCACCACCACCCAAATTTATGCTTTCTCTAATGTTACCACAAGGCTTTCAAAAGCAGAAAATTGGATGGAATTTCTAATCTTTCTTTTCAAGGAAACCTTTGTTTTGGTATGAAGTTTACAATTTCTGACAGTGCACAAATTGTTGATTACCAATACAACTCTTCTCAAAGGAAGTTATATCCAACCCAAGCTGCAGAAACAAAACAAAAAATCTAAACAATTTCACAGATATATTACAACCTCTCAAGTGCAATAATGAGACATTTTTATCAATCCTTCCCTCTCAACTAATGGCAAGAATGATGATCAAACAACAGTCTGATACAACAAAACACCTGCATTTGCTAAATATTTACATCTGAGATTACTGGATTTATACTATTGAAAGAAAACTGATGTAATAACTACAAAACCTAATATGATTAGTAATACAACATGCTTCAAATTACTTTTAGACACTTCCATCTCATAAACACTGTTTAAAAGACAAAATTGTGTGATACAAAATTAACATATTCAATAACATCAGGTTTGTATATATTCAGAAACTGTAGTTTACAGAACTGAATCATTTTGCATAACTAACCCTTTAGTTAAAAGTTCCTTGGCTGTATTCATTACACCACTCATGTTAACAGAAACTGTTCGACATCAAGGAATATGAAGTACTAAATACAGACTAGCAACAAACAGTTCATGCTACCTCTGTTTAAAAAAAATTATAATCTACGCTTGGTTTCCTATTACGATACAAAGAGTTTTCTTGGCTGAAATTAAACTATTCTGTTCAGTAAAATAAAATATATGACCCTCCAAGTCTTAATATATTCATTCCCAAGGTTTAACAATTAAAAACAGTATTATAAACAGAAAATTTGATACAATGTACATACTTGTATTCTTTCTAAGTTGCAAACATTCCTTGAGAGATATAATAAAAACCTCAGTAAGTAAGGCATCTAAACTGTGACACAAACAAGATTTTTTTTTTTTGAGGAAATCTTAAATGGGACGACTGAAATTTGCTGGGAAGAGACCCTTTTCATTGGTTGACTCCTTGACACCCATCAGCCATCCTTCTTCCTGCAAATCAATATATTAAATACTATGATTATTATGTTTTAAAGAATTATAGATAAATTTTAACCTTAAAAAAACAGATTTGATGTGAAAGTTTGACAAATCTTAGTAAAATATATAACTTTTCACTTTTGTCTGGTAGGTACTTAGGTCAAAATTAGTCCTAAAATACATTTATATTTCAGTTATTTTACTAAAAATCACATTCAGCATTATATGAAAATTTTAAGAAATTTGAAACTATTTCTATCATTACATGTAGATGTCTAAACTTTAAACATTGTGTTTCCAGTTGTTTTTTTCTGGTTCTTAAATTTATGTTTTAGTTGTTATTATCAAATTTTAACATGTACTAAAAGCTTAGCAAATTTCATGAAGTAAATTTGGAATTACAGCAAGCAGTAATTAAGTGTTTTCACTGTAAGAATTAAAATCACAGGGGATATTAGTAATAACCTACTAGTCCAGTGTAAAGCAATACTAAAGGAACCTGTTTTAAAAATCTACTGGCATAAACCTTTATAGTAGGTTTAATGCCAGTAGGAGGGTCACATGACAATACATAAAATTTTATTTTCAGATTTTTTTATACATGAAGAAAAATGTATAAAATTCATTGAAGATAACATCAGAGAAAGGGTTAGGGTTGGAAAATACAAAGATACCAATTTTTGCTAAAGTAAAATAAATTAACATTTCATAATTACATTGACTCAATAAATGGCATTACTGGAAGCAGTGAAATCCAACTCCCACAGCATCAGTAACAACCCTACTGGTTGTAACATCAGCCATTTTTTCAATTCAAAATTAGTATATGAAGTAAGATTAAATTTTGAATATTCTCTTTTTCCAGCAAAATCGATAAAAGACAGAAAATAGAAATTTTTAAGTAAAAAAAATATCACTTATAATATAAGGTATTGAACTAATTAAAGAATCAAGTTTTTCAGTACTTAAATAAGAAAAAAAAATATTTAAAGCCTGTCCTCTCTTAATTCATTTAATACATGTTTCCAGTAAAAAAGAATGTTATACTAACATATCATCTACACTTTGTTGTATGCAACAAGTTATCAACTAAGTAACAATCTTAGTTTACATGCTTTTAACCATTAAACAATGGAGGGTTTGATAAACGTAAGTTAGTAATTTTTACAACACCAGCATTCTATCATTGCATGATTTTTCTCACCTGTTCTTCTGGATCATCATATTCTACTACCTGAATGATCTCACCAGGTTCAAAGTCTAGTTCGTCCCCATCCTCTGCTATATACTTGTGAGTAGCTCGGACCTGCAGGGATTAAAGAGGAAATTATAGTAATATTCTTATGAAATATACACACGACAGGATTGTTTTCTAAAAATTCTGAGTTTTTTTATGATGTGCCAGAAACTTAACTTTCACTCCATGATGTATGAGCATGGTTGTTATACGTTAAAAATAAAACGTGTTTGTTGTATAGTTACAGATACCTACTGACACTCCATATGGCTGATATCTTGCAAAGTACTGATATTAAAACTACAGAAGAATGTATGAATCCTGTTATGAATATGGAGGGTCAAAATAAACAGACATAACTAAATCAGAAGTAAAAATTTGAAAATTACTCAGAAAAAACAATGTCCTCATTTTCTTTTGAAGGGCAGTGATGCTAGCTAGGCCTAGTTCACATTTTTTGTGCCAGGCCTAGAAAAATATTATATGACAATAACAGAAAAATACCTAAAGAAAACATTTCCAACTGAAATCAGTATGCGTCTTGAATGGAGCTTGTTTAGTTTCAGGTGTAGAAAAAAACAGATAATTAGTTCATCTGTTTGAAAACAAAATGCTCAATCAAAAAACTAAACTTTTTCCATGCTCAATAAACTTCTTCACTGAAGTAATCTGAATTTTATGTGGGCAATACACCGAAGTCTCAAAAGTTTTATCTTAAAGGGCAGTATTTTTTGACACTAATAGTATATATATCTGAAAAAAATTAATCATTTGGAATATTCTGATAAAAAACTGACTATGAGGTTAAAATATTCAACCTGTCTCAAAAGTTTTATCTTAAAGGGCAGTATTTTTTGACACTAATATATATATATCTGAAAAAAATTAATCATTTGGAATATTCTGATAAAAAACTGACTATGAGGTTAAAAATATTCAACATATTAAGCACTTCTCTACAGTTTTAACAACACATTTAATAAGGAATTTAGTTAATCAATACTTACAAATACGGAATGATTATTAAAAAATACCTGTATTTAAAATAATTATATCTAAGATCTATTAACCAAGGGGACCAAAATTTTACTAGCCAGGTACTACCTATTTTCCCACCTTAGGCAAGTTTTCAATCTGCATCCTCTCCTCCAAATTTTACTTTCAGTTGCTTAACAAAACTGTAGGATTACAAATAAAACTTATTTATTTGTTGATGCTTGAGGAGATGTTACAGTAACAGTTGACACATGACTATCAAGTCAGTTCAAAATTTTACAATAAGGGAAACCTTGTTTTTCATACTTGATCGAAACTGTTGCTACACCAACCAACCTTGTTTATGCCATGGTTGATTTCAGATACGTTTTAAACAACTTGAATTTAAAAAAGCTTCTTTCTTTACTATTAATGTGATAAACAAAGTCAACATAGCTCTGAGCACAACAAAGGTGATGGAAAACATTGTACACATTCCACCATATACCAGATCATTTCAGTCACTTAACATATGAAAGCCTTTCTTACACAGTACCATTGCACTGACATCAGTTCACTCACCATCTAATAAATGGATTTGAAGATCCATATAGTTGTTCAGCAAGTCCCTTGAAGTTATTTTCAAGAAGACATCATGCAGTACATGAAAATTTACAGTGGGCTGCGTTACTGTTGTTGCTGAACCATTTCTTCCACAGTTTTAATGACTGTATCAAAAATTCTACTTAAGAATCTGATCTTGAAGTTCCCACAAAAAGCAATATTTTGAGTTTCAAGAACTGTTATATATCAATGCAATAAGACTCTCAAATATCATTTGTCAAAATCAAGTTTTTTGTTTAGTCAAGTGCAGATTTTCCAAATTGAGTGTTTGGTTCATTATCTGTCAAGCTTCCCGACTTTTAATTTTGATTTGAAACTGCTGCCCAAATTTTTCAGTTCAATGTTTCCTTTAATTCTCTCACTATTAGTTTGATAGTTTCAACTGAGTTTGTGATCCCAAAACTGACCTTTAGTTTCCATACTATAATTTCTCGTATCTTTTGTATATCTTCACGGAATTTTGCTAGCTTTCAGTAAACATTACAAGTCTTCTATAGACTTTTAATCAGAATTTTTCATGAATTATTTATATTCAAAATTTCTCCATAAATATATGGACTCAAAGTATCGATTGCTCAGAGTGCAAAGTGATTTTTCATGTTTACATTAAAATTTCTTTTTTTCATATGAAAATTGTCAAATCTTATTTGTGTAATCTCTAAAACCTGAATAAATTTCAAACGTTTTTTCTCCAGTAAAACTGTATATTTTATCTGTAACTTTCTTTACACTAACTCTATACAGGGTCAGTTGATTTGATCAACCTCGTATCCATCGTTAAAAATATGAAAAAAGTCTAAATTACACATTTTTTCTTTCTAGAATGATTGCCAATTGTAACAGGAAATTACATTTGTTTAACCTAAAAAGCTTCAAACTCATAACAGTATAAATCTGTTTCTACTTAAATTTAATTGTTTTATTGCCACTTAAACTGTGTTTAACTAATAATCCTACCACACAAATTGTAAATCATTCACTGAATGTGTAGTTCACATTATCCTATTGAATTATGTAATGCACAAAATATTCACGAGCTGCTCACAAACATGCCTCACGAAAAATTATTATTATTATTTTTGTCTTTATCTTACCTAACCTAATAAGTTTTTAATTATTATGTTCTAGTTATTTCTGTAATAAATAAAGAATACATATGAAATATAGTACTTACCTGGATCCTTTTTTTGCCGTCAACTGTCAATGAAACTTAACCCTACTTTTTTATACTAATGGTACTACTATTATAAATAATTTTTTATTTAATTAAATAATGCACCTAAGAACACAGAATAATAACAAGCAGACAACTGTTCTACAACTCTCATAATTTTTCTGGTTTTGTAACTATGCGATAAAAGCTGGTAAAAATTCAGCTAAGCTCATCAATGTATCTTCCGTGTGAATAAAGTTTGAACTGAAAGCAAAAAAGACAATTCTCTGTACATAAAACAATGTAATATAATACATTATTTGATAGATTGAACCTTTGGCTTCCTATTGGTTATAAATAATATGGTATTGAACATCAGAGAGAACTATTAGCAATTTGTGAAAGAGGATGTAACAGATGGGTGTGGCAGGAGAGGTCCAATTTTCTAGTTAATGGCATTTAAACCAAATAAGATTGATGGGTATAAAAATTATGCTTTTCCTGAGTAATAACTATATTATTATAAATAATTTATGTTAAATTTCATACTTCTCAGAGGGGTGGTAAACATATTAGAGGAGAGGGCAAATGTCACAATTTTCATGCTAGGGAAGATTAAGGATTCTTTATTAAAGTACTTTAATTAAATTTTGAATGTAAATCTAAAAAGTTATTAATGCACACTTTGATCTGCCCATGTTGAGAGAGTTGATTACAGTGAAAAGTTATATGATAGTACCAAAAATATTACAACACATAAAATACTGAATTGTGTGAGACCGAATATTGGAGCTTCTTTCTTACTGAAAGTCATCATGGGTAATATCTTGTTATGAATCTCTCTTCCCTGTATTGGGTCCATTTCAATCAACAACTGTCAAACCCTTGTGTCAAGAATTTGCCATTTATTCTGACCACCCAAAATACATGTACTTTTGCTTTCTGTTTGGTTTTCCTCTTTAGAAGAGTCACTGTCATGAGCAGCTACAGTTTCTTCCATTTCCAAGATAACGTAGCATATACTTGTAGCACTGGTCTCTTCACTAGATTTAGTAGCAGTAGTTTATTGACTCATTATAATGGTATTCTTTTTACTGTATTTTCACATGATGCACTTTCTAAGCCTCTTCTTTCCTTTGCTAATACTGAGCACTAGAAGGATAGTGCCTTTCATTAGATATGCTTTCTGAAGTTCATTGTTTAACCATTTTAGTTACCACTGCTTTAACTGTGAATTTTTTTTAGCTATCTTGCATTATTTATAAATTAAAACAGAAACATTTTTATCCAGTGTACCTTCCAAAATAAAATTTAAGGTCTCTTCAACTCGTTCCTCACTTATATTTTACATTGGCTTGGTTTCCAGAATATTTTAGAAATCTCTGGTTTAGTTACATACTTCTTGCTTATATTCCACATGAGCTTGGTTTCCAATTTGGTTAGAAATCTCTAGATACATATACTTTGGAATATTTTTTCTACACACTTTCTAAAAAAGAAGATAAATTCTTTACTTGTGTATATGGAGAAAAATTGGACTCTACACCCCCCCACTCTCCTATTTGCTGCTCACAGCAGACATACTCAGTAACTAGAAATACAACATGAGAGGTGACTTTACAAACAAATAGTGACTTTGCCAAATGAATTAATTAGTAAAGTTATATTTACTTTGAAACCTCTCATTTGCTGCCTTACTATGTTTTCTACTTTGCCTATTCAACAACACAAGCTCTAATTGGCCCAATGATAATCAAGAGTTTTACTCACATAAGTTTGGAAACTGTACAAACTGTTTCAAAACCTATTATATTGCATACTTAAATCACTTTTCTCACAAATTAGCATTGCTTTTCTCTTCTTTGAATAATACAAGGTTGGTGATTTGAGTAAAATTCATAAAAAAACAGACTGTTTAATTATTTGGAAAACACATTAATACATCTATAATTTTTACTAAATCACAATAAAAAATGCAATATGACATCTCATCTTACTCTATAAAAAACACCAGGAGGAAGGTCCACTGTTGTAGCACCCACAGGTATGTCATACAGTTCCTCCAGTTTCTTGGAGGTTATAGGTCTTACAGGGTCACCATCAATGTCACTCTATCAAATGGACATAACCGTTACAATATTGACACAAAAAAATACATGTAAAACTATAAAGATATCAGAATCAACTACAAGTGGGTGAAATATCACAAACAAGTAATCAAAGTAATCTAACATAATCACTCATTAATGCATTTAAATCATGCGAGACAAAAAATAAAATAAGAGAGTACTACACAGCATAAATACTTAAGATGTTAGTTTGTAATCTAAGTTATACTACCAATATTAATATTATCACAAACACAGATGGAACTATTATGTTTAAATTTCAAATATCCTTTTTTTACAGTTATGAAAAACTGTACTTATATGTTCAAATATACAAAACGTGGCAAAAGTCGCACGGTCCAAAGAGAGAATTTTAGATTTAGAATGAATCAGGATAAGTTTAATGTTTAGCAACCCAAGTCAGAGTCCATTAACCTTAGAATATCAGCATTAAAATTTTCAATCATTAACATCAAGTGGTATGGGGTCATTGTGATCCCATACTGATATCCAAGGGTTAAAATACTCAAAACATTTTTTTTCAACCTTGTTTTAAGCACTAATGATTTATAACAATATATATTTTTTTAATTTCGTTTTCTTTTTGATAATAAAGACAAATATTATTTTATGAAAGTTATTTTATAAAACAATTTGGAAGTACTTTGAAGCTAATTAAATAACTTATGGATTCTTAATGTTTTTAATTATTTATAGGTTTTAATTGTATATTTATTGATTTTTTAAGTACTTTTATCGAGATTTAAAAATGTTTAATATATATTTTTATTCATATGATGTTGCTAAAGATTACATAACTTTTGAATATTATATTATGTATCACAATTCTTTTTTATTAGGTTGGCTGAAGTTACTTCAGAAAACCCAGTGGTGTGTAAATACTTGTTATATTAAACATACTTGAGGAGTTCACACTCATATACATATATTAACCATTAAGTATTTTCAGTATTACTAACCGTTTAAAAACAACACTAACCTCTATACCAATAGGCTCATATTCTTCATCATAAGTTGCCTTGTGAGGTAATGCCATAATAGCCGCAGGGAAAAAATTTGTTTTTGAACCTACTGGTACATCACTGCAGCTATGTTCTGTTAATTGAATATATAAATTTTATATATATATATAAACAAAATTCATTTCAAAAATCCCATAATTACCTGCAGAAGCATGTGAAAATTAGTTTAACTGATATCCATTTTCTACCTGTGGCTAAGCCTATATAAGCATTTATTAAAGTACTCTACCCATTACTTTACTGAGATTTTATGATCTGGGTCAAAACCAAATGTGGTCCTAAGTTTAGACTTCATGATACTGACATTTAGTGTAACTGCTAAAATCCAAAGCATAAAATCAATAATAGATTGTCTGTCTTTTATGACTAAACTTGACATACACAGTTTGACCTGCCCCTATGGAAAGAGTTAAACTAGTAATTTTGCTAGATCCAAGACAATGGTACCCCTTGACCCCCCCCCCTCTCGTCAGCCCTGTCATGTAAACTGATCAGATAATCAAAATTAAAATTAAATTGATTATTCAAAATTAGTGTTTCTGATCAGCTATTTAAATAATCAAAACTTTGCCACCAAACTTGCTTGCCCCATCTTTGCTATGTTAGAGTTACTAAAGTTATCTGCCACTATCACTAATGTTTAACTGCTGATTAGAGGGAAGGCAAACTTTCTGGCAGCACTTGCTGTCAACCTTTTTTTTTTTTTCTTGTGAGTGGATGGAAGAATGCTGTATTGGTCAATGGCAATCAATTGATTGATTAGCAAATATCACTAATCGCTCAGCTCAACTGAACCGTGTTGTTCTTCTTTATAAGTAGTGTTGTATTGCTTTAGAATTAAATTGAGTAATGTGTACTTAAATGAAAAGACAGTACCTTTATCAGTTTCTTTATAAAATTACATTAAATACCAATGGAGGAGAAAGTGTAATTACAATTATACATGTAAGAAAAATATTCAGAGTCCTTTACAAACACAAAATACAAGCTAAGAATTTTTGAAATATACGAACTAAAAATAATATTTACATATACCCATACATGAAAGAAGTATGTATAGAGCTTTAAATAAGCAGTCAGAAAGAAATCTTGAAAGCAAAGGGTATATTTGAAATATATTTGAAGATTTCAACAAATGGAGAAAGTAGAGTTTAATAATTCACCAAAGAGCATGAATGATCTGTTGTATTAGCAACTCTCACTGTTTAGTAATTTAAAGAGGAATAGGAAATTAAGTGGAAAACAACTTAAAATATTTAAAAGAACTTGTAACAAAGAGATGTCAAATGGTATACAAAAATAGATTGTCTAGTGATTAACATGTTAAGTTCACAACTAAGGCCAGTCTGTTGTAAGTGTATTTTTTTCATGCTATCTTTTTGCTGTATTTAAAAAATAATTTCTATTCCTCAAGGTTCACAGTTTCTTGAAGTAGAAGGTCTCCCAGATGGGATGAAACGTTATGATGTAGAACGATACTTAGAGCCAGTGACTGCACTAGGGGCCAAGATAGAGTTTGTTTGTACTAACAGTAGTAAATCAAAGCCAATGGGGAATGACAACATCACTAAAACTAAATATCAAGTGTTAGCAATATTTGAATCTAGCACAGCAGCCCAGACTGCCCTTTTAAAAATCAAAACAAACAAATTTCAGCTTCGACAACGTGGGAAGGAAATCAGTTTCAAGACTTTAAGTTAACCCTGGAATTATACCTACACTATTCCATACAAACTATTTTTTTAAGTGAACCATTTGATATCCACTTATTCATAGAATAAGAAAATTTCTCTCTTCACACAACTTATTGTCAATCAGCAACTTTCTTGTCATCTCGTGCTGAGATTAGTAAGGAAGTTTTTAGTTCATTTTTGATGACTTATCGTAGAAAGACTTTAATTTTCCCTTTATCAAGACATGTTTCCGATGATGTAGTCATAATTTTTTTTTGCAACCTTGTGGCCTTGCTGGTAAACTTCTGACATCCTGCCTTGTTGCAAGAGTTTAGTTTCTGTGATTATAAATCCTGTGTTAGTCTTGTTCATAAACAGTATTGTTGTTCTACAATAGTGTTTAATTGATTTGGTAAGGGATACAGTATGGAAGCTGGTCTGTTGGGTGATATACTGTAGTGAAGTTTTCGTTTGTTTCTTTTTTTTTTCACTGTTTTTGATAAGAATCAGTGATGTTAGAAAAAATAAATTGAAATGTTAAATTATGTGACTTTCTTGTCTTAGAATGAAGTCAGTGTTATATAATATGCAAAATCAATTTCAGTAGTAGCATCTCTTAATGATTCATTGCTAGTACTACCTAATCTACCAAACCCAACCAAAAATTAAATTTATACAAAATACACATAATTACCAAATCTGAAAGTTTCCATAAGAAAGACTGAATATTTAGCAGCAATAAACTGAAAATAAGTTTTATTTTTGAGGAACTTTAACTGATGCAGTCAGTAAAGGAAGCATGTATTACACTACTAACTAGTCTTGTGTAACTTGTGTGGCTCAGTGAGGTTTCCTGGCTTTGTTAAATACTTGTTAGTCCAACACACATAAGCAAAGAAAAGATGTTCAAATCTTTTGGGTATACAGTGATTACATTACATTGTTTACAAATAATCATTAATGAATATTAGAGAATTGATATTTTATTGGGCATTCTGGAAACACATTATTGTTTAAAAGAATGATATAGATGATAATATTTTGTATATTAAAATTGATAGTGATACAGACAGCTCTTGTTTTATTCCTCTTCTGGGGAAGACATTAACGAAAAAACTTATAAGTTATTTTCAATTAGTGATCACGTCTTGGGGTTAAATATGTTTGAAAAAATTTACAAGATGTTGCATACATTAATTGCTAACACAAACTATTTCTATTTGTGGTGCTCCCTGGTAGCAGTGTAAGAAGCATTATAGATGTATTTGGTACATTAATTTAAATGTCAGCTTGTATGAAGTTTTAAAAAAAAACAAAATGAAACATTAAAATATATGTACAAGTTTTAAACTCATTGATACTTGTTTTCCATATCAGTGAATAATCTCCACACTTATTCACATACTTATGATGCATTTCAATAAACTAGTAGTTAGTTAAAATGGTAGGTGAATTAGAAATAAATTTTGTTTTTCACATCATTTGGTGATAAAATATAGAAACTAATGACATGTGAAAAGCTGCCTTTATTAAATCTATCTTTATAGAAAGTTTTATAATGTTCTGATGAATCAGTCACACTATATTTAAATTTAGAAATATTCTAATGTCCCCTCGAAGCAAGTTAACAAATTTTCCTATCAACAAGTAGAATAACTCGCAAGTTCTGATATACTTGTATGAAAAACCAATTAAGGAATGCCTTCTGTTACTTGATTTTATATAAAAGGTATTAGTTATTTGGTAATTCCTATTGTTCTGCCATTTATATACCATTCAACTAAAATGAATGGTGAAAATTCAAATTTTTTCAGGCATCTACAATTTCCAATGTAATTTAAATAATATTATCAAAATACATACTTTGCTAGAACTTTGTAAATAGTATCTTCAAGAGGATTTAAGCTATGAGAGTCTGTAAACCAGTGATTTAAAAGAAGTAAATGAAGAATAATAATAACCTTCAAAATCACCTAATAAATTTTATATTTTGTAGCCTCTTTATCATCTTTGACTTAGCTTTCAAGTGCCCATTTTAACACCATGAAATGTGGTTGTACAGATTTACCAGGAAGCAAAATCAGAGAACTGTAAATTAACTATTTAACCTCTAGGTTGTCAATTGCTATTGCAATGACAAATGTAAACTTTCCTGTATACTAGATATCCATTAAATCTCTTTATACTTACTGGTGGGTATGGTTATACTACAGGTCCTAAATATACATCGAGGTGGAAACATATCATCCAACAGAAGTGTAAGCTCCACTGATAACCCTCAAAGTTTGATTGAGAAAGGAAGTAAGTGTTGAATAAGAGAAATATATCGGACAAAATATTATGCAGCAACAGTCATTGCGTAAATATTATATATTTACATCAGATAAAAACTTTATACAACCATTACCTGTAGAAGAACTAAATATAGTAAAGTAGGCATAGGTCAAACACATTATTTTCAACAAATTGTCTACAAGAAAGCTAAATTGAATGCAGTAATTTAGATCTAACAAACACACTACCTTCAATAATGTACATATAAGAAAGCTAAGAGAGAATTAATTTAAATGAACTGCAATTAATTTTTCAAAAATGAGGCCATATTTCCAAATAGTAATTTTCTGTATATCTGTGGCTTTGCTTAGGGGTGTTGCGAGCCAGCCCCATTTATACTTTCGGGTTTCCTTCGTAGAAAAAATGCAGTAAAATTTTTGTAATGTTATATAAGTAAATAATTGCATAAGTATAATCTTATCAAATTTCCAATTGTAGCAGGAAACTACTTTTGTTTACATTAAATAATGGATTTATTGATATTATGCATCTGTTTTAATTATATTTTTTAAGCCCTATGAACCGTGTTTTAAAAAATTCCTGCCATACAAAGTTTCAAGTTTTACGGCAAAAAGCAATAGATGATATCCAATCAAATTTCATAGTGCATGAGCTGTTATCCCTCGTCAGCATACTTCGTAAAGAATTATTGTTATTTTTTATCTTACCTTATTTAAAGTAAAAAGTTTCTCATTTTTAAACTTTTTTAGTTTTATAATAATAAATAAAGAATACTTAAGACGAACAAGAAATATAGCCCTTACCTCTTGAGTCTTCTATTTTTTTCCCTCACCAGTCCTGGATAGTTAGCTCAAAATTAAACTATAGGCACTACTTCTCAAAAATATTTATTATTTAATTAGATAACACACCAGTGGACACAAAATAATAACAGGTAAAAATTATTTAATGTCCTACAATATTCATAATTTTTTTAGCTTTCTATCTATGCAACAACAGCTTTTCAAAATACTGCTAATTTCCTCAATCTGTTCCCACAAACAAAATTCTCTAAATTGAAACTTATTTGGTCAGTTCCTCATACAAGGAAGTGGGAAAACCAATATGTCATTTTACAGCTTACTCTATTGGCTACAAACACAATACTTTTAAGCCTGAAAGAGTATCTTTTTGGTTATATGAAAGAAAGGGTTACAGAAATGGGTGTGACATTTGGGTCCCAAAATTCCAGGAAATTTGCTGAGTAGACAATAAGATTTAAGGCCATAAAATTTTATTTTAGTTAAGGAATGTCAATGAGAGACAGATTACTTGATAGCACTTTGAACAGTTATTGCAGGGGTAGTAAATAAATTAAAGAAAGCCAACATTTTCACACAAAGGGAGATTGAACATTTTTCTAAGTATTTCCTTATAAAGCTACGAACTTCAAACTTATATAATATTAGAATTTTGTTCATTATCTTTGTATTGATGTCAGGTTTATTTGTATACCTTGATAATTAAGTATTTTAAATAAATGTTAAACGTAACTCACTAAAAAGTCCTGCCTTCGATGCCTGTAAACCTTGGGTTGTCTGTTTACTGTGGATATTTCACCTGACGTAACATGAGGAAACCTTACCATGGGTTGGGCTGATCGAAGCATAAGAGGATTAAACTGATGATGCAGGGGTAGTCCTGTAAGAGAACAAATGTACACATCTTTAATTTACTGTTTTGTAATAGGCCTAGGATATAAGAATTGGTAATTACCACATTAATCATCTTGGTTTGGTTCAGGGGGTTTTGGTTGAAAGCCACATAGGCTATCTATACCAAAAAGTAGTTATCTTGTTTTAAACAACAAGTATTATAAAAAAGTTAAAAGATGAAAGAAGTTTGCTTGTTACTCACTGTCATCCATTTATATCTAGTTTTTCTGTTGAAATATGAGGGAACAAACTCTTTGACACTGTGGCCAAATTGGTCTCCACTAGTGGCATTACAGCCTTGTCTATTTCATATTTGGATTTTAACCATTCATCAAGGCAATGTTTTATGCCAGTTGGAATACAATTTAAATAAGCTATTCCAGATAAAATGTACTATCAGTGATTGCGGGTTTAGTTTGAGCAGGAATCTGAGAGAAGTTGTATTTGGATTTTAAAGCCATTCATCAAGGCAATGTTTTATGCCAGTTGGAATACAATTTAAATAAGCTATTCCAGATAAAATGTACTATCAGTGATTGCGGGTTTAGTTTGAGCAGGAATCTGAGAAAAGTTGTCGTCTTCACAAAGCTCTGCATTGGCCATAATTTTATTACTCGTTCTCTTACAAAGGAGTGACAATATGTGAGCAGCATGCCACTCAATTCACAAATGTCCATGTATCATTTTCCTGCTATCTCTACAATGTGAACATAGAAATATCTTCAGTCATGGTATCCCAGTGACATTGGCAATGATGATGCTGTCCAGATTGATCACGTTTTTAACATTTTATGGGCCATAGGCATGTTTTAATTCTATTTAGTATTACATTATGAAAAGTATCTGTTTTGTTTTATGTTTTTATTTTGCGTCTATTCTGAATATCCAAGAGAGTTGAGTAGAAACTGACCTTAAGTGATCCCAAGGTCTTATTACAGGTTCAGATATTGATAACATTTGATATTTAGTCAGTACAGACGGTATAATTATTATACCAGTTAGATTCTATGTAATTCTGGGGAAGTGACATTGCATATAACTCAGCAGTGAACACAGAATATTAATAACTATAACTTTAATATTGCATTAACAGCTGAGGATCTAAGGAAAGAGTCCACCATATTCAATAGTATTATATTAACATTGTTATAAATTTATAAGTATTGCTAGTAAAGGTCTAGTTTACCCACACACATACACAAACAAAGCCCTATATCCATCCCTGATAAAGTTTAAATTGTAAAGTCTGTTTTTTACATTGTATTACAATTTGCATAACTTTACTTATTAGTGTCAAATGAACAAAAAGTTTTTTATTTATTTATTTACATTGTCCATCTGTTATGCTTGTAACATCATAACTCTTTCTTTCCTGAACTTATGTTTTGATGGAAGTTGTGACAGGCACTGGCACATCTGGAACACTGAACTTTACGGTAGTGGAGCAAACACTACCGATTCTGTAACCCCTCCTCCAATTCCGAACCAGTGTTCTTTATTACATTTTCATGCTAGCTTTTTAACAATGTGATAAATCAGAAATGTAAATTCACTAATTAATTTTCATTACTACACACTGTCTAATTTATAACAAAATCAATATGTAAGACATATTGTAACTTGCATTTAATCATTAGCCTATGTACAGGAACAGAACTCCAGTTTGATTATGACTAGCTCTATTAAATGTACATTGTAGAAAGCACTGAAAAGTGAAACAAAAGTTTGGCTGTAGTCATGTTAGAATAGACAAGTCCTAGTATGTAATAATGCTAATATATAGTTGTTTGTCTTATTGATTTCTCAGCACACACGTTTGACAGTTTATTCCAGTCGGTATTGTAAAATGTATGAGTATTAAATTCACATGTTGCATTATTGCAGAATTCCTTGTTCTATACACAGGAAATTTTAATAAAATACAAAAAATAAAAGCACTGTGTTCATAAAATATATCTAACTTAGTACTTGCTGTCATTAGAATTTTGTAATTTGGTTAAAGCATTCATGTTAGTTTTAACATTAATCTTTGTTATTTAAACTTATGTTTTATTATCTCCATAATTGATACAACAAAATTGGGTCATGAACAATGCTATAGTTTTTCTATGTTATTGAAATATTCGTTTTGTCATCTTTATTATAATTTATTAGATATTTGTTGTTTTATTTCATGTGTTGCTTCTTTCTACTGTCATTTCATTTTAATATTTTAAAAATTTCTTACATAAAATGTCTTCGTTAACTGTAATCAGTAAAAGCACCATAATTTTAAACAAAAAACCAGACATCATCAAGATACATTTGTTAAACCTTTAATAAATCTCCAACTATGTGACTTCTTTGTTTCATGTTGTGTATATATATTCTTTTGTCTTGGTAAACTACTTGTACCTGATGATCACATAACCTTCTCCAAATATTATAAATTTATTACTTTTTTTAAACTTGTAATAAAATTTTCTTTGTTACACATTCATGAAAATTTCTGTAGCTTTCAAACACACAAATGCTATCACAGTTCACAAATGAAAGGGCAGAAACTATGAAAAATGTAAACCTATATATTTAATATTACATGATAGTCTAATTCTTGCTTTATCTATAGAATCCAGTCATATTTAAACTTTCTTTATAGTTAGTTGTTTTTCACTAGTAAATGATGAAACCACTTGATATGGTACAATAACAAGATTTCAACCAAGGTCCAAGGCTTGCACAAAAAACTAAGGGAAGTACTTGTTGGTAGTTCTTGAACTTCTTGGGCACTGAAACATGAAGATGTCCTTCCCTTCTTGAATAGAGAGACTTTGCTCATTTCCCTTGAACAAATGAATATCAGGTGTCAACAGTTAATTAACTTGATCCTATATCATATTACACACTTACCATTTCTGATACTCAGTCAAGAATGGCATGTCTTTTAATTCTGACAGCTGATGCATATCAGTTTTTAAGATACTCAAGCATTGCTTGTATTATCTGTGCTGTCACTCCTATGTCATCTTCAGTTGGTTCTAGGAGGTAACAAACTTGACAGAGTGATCTAAGATTAATTGCCGAATTTTTGAGTAAGTTCTGAAAAAGGCTTAAAATTTGAACCAGCTTTTCCACATTACTCTTTTTCTAATTCTGGCTTTAACTCTGGTTTATCACATTTCATTAGTGCCTCACATATGGGTTGTTGTTTCTCTACATGGCATAAATACTGTTTCACCTAGTCTCATGATGGAGAATTAGCTTGTGTTCTGGTAAACTGAGTTATTTTTGTTTCTTTATTAGACAATATTTAGCAATAGCACTTCAATGGAAATGCTCAGCCAACTTAGAACAATGTGCGATCATTCAGTCCATTCCTGCATTTAGTCCTTTATTGCTAACTAAGATCAAAGTATGGCCAAAGCACTGTATTAACTTTCGATCAATATTACTAACAGCTTTCACACAGTTGGAAATGTTGTTTGACACAATTACTACAATCTTATCCAGGATATTCCAACTTTCTAGACACTAAGTAACTGCCCATTCTATAACTTCAGCAGTGTGAGCTGGTGGAAACTAACGATTTTGAAGAATTCAAAACCCAATGAGGATTTATGAAATGAACAGTGAAAGCAAGGTACTGGTCAAAGCTGTAGAGATCCACCTATCAAAAATAATAACCACATTACTTGTCTCAGAAAGTTGTTCCATAACAACTTGAATGCTGGTGTACAGTTTTGAGATAAGATTCCAGTTAATACTTTCCTTGATGGCACATGGTGTTTTGAATCAAGAGATTGAAGCAACATTACAAAGCCAGGTTCTTTCACAGTTCACAGTGGATGCACATTTTTAACTATGTAGTTAACTGATACTTCTGTTTCATGTTCTCCTTAAGCTACTTAGTTTTAGCTGCTAAAGACTTGTATAGTTGACTGTCTTTTCAGTGACTGTTGAACAGATGTTGAACTTGCAGTACTATAACTAATGTTGCTGGTACTTGATGATTATGATAAAGATGGTTAAATATGGTTAAAGCCTTTGTTGCTGGAATTTTAACCATAGTGCTTTGACACCTCCCTAAATGCAGCACTGTAGAGAAGTTGTAAATGATTTTTGCATGTTCATAGTATTACTGCTAAATTTCAGTACTGCTTCACAATGTATGCACAAAAATTCATCCTGATGGTCTTCTTGATAGCTGGAATGTTCTTATATAGCTGAAATATTTTGTAAAAGATTCAACTTTACAAAATGATCATCTTGTTCACTCCTTTTCTCTACCATTGCTAATGATTGTTTTCTGTACACACTGTCACTTGATAACTGTGAAGTTAACATACATGACACGTGATTTTACTTTTATGAGCAAATATCTATGGAGTGGATGTAGGTTTGAGAATATCTTTAGGCTACTAACTTTTAACCACTTTTTGCTAGTATAATATGGGGGTCTGCATGACCAGTCAGAGTTTTAAAAAAAAAGAGTATAGGATTGCTATGGAAAATTGGTGTATTTATTACTCAATAAACCAATTCATTTAAATATCTTTGTTGTTAAAGAAAAGAGTATAGCATTGTTACAAATAACTAAAATATCTGAATTTAATACACTATTTATTAAATAAACTAATTCTTCGTTAAACTATAATTGCCCTTAGTTTTCATGTGATAAAACTATAAAAGATTCTTGTCAGTGTTGTTACAGTGTGATAATGTAAAACTGTGAAAATAAATTCACTCTGATCCTAGAAAAACACAGTACAATGTTTAATATTTGACAAGAAATTGAAGAAGACTTGTGATGATAGTGTTGCATCAGCGAGGTCACGTGACTAGTGTCACGCCACTTATTTTCTAGAAATATCTTGTTCCTTTGTGAATGTACTAGCTTTTACTAGATATATGTTAGTCTGGTATGTATATAAGACGCTCATGTGACGGGACAATGTGTGTAGGTAGTGAGTAATTGAACTGCAGTCAGAAAGTATTGTTGAAGTTAAC